TCTTCCTGCGTAGACACTGGATTGGGTGTTGTGTTTGTATATACAACTAGTTTTGTTAGATTTTCATCACTGTGACAAATACCTAAGATAATCAGTTTAAAATAAAGGTTTCTTTTGGCTTCCAGGTGCCTAAGGTTTCAATCCACGATCACTTGGCTTTGTTGCTTTGGACCTGTGGGAGCACAGTGCACCACGGCAGGAGCACATAATAAAGTAAGCTGCTAACCACACGGTGGCCAAGAAACAGAGGGAGAGGAAGTGGCCAGAGTTCCAATGTCCTTCAAGGGCACCACTCCAGTTACCTAACTTCCTCCAATTTGTTCTCAGCTCCTACATGTTCCACAACCCCTAAACAGTGTCACAGGCTGGGGGCCAAGTTTTTAACATGAGTCCCTAAGGAACACTTCAGATCCAAAGGACAGCACTAATTTTGTGAGAGCAAACCAAGCTAATAGTAATAGGTTTATATTCCCAGGGTGATCTGCGGTTTTAGCTTCTAACCTAAAGTGCCGTAAGAGTTAAGTGAAATACACAGTTGTTATAAATGGTATGAAACTACAGGAATATGATATCTCTGGCAATTGATCTTAGGCTACAAATTCTACAAAAAGATACAATGGGCTGATGGATCAAATCATTCTGATTCACAATTCTGATAGAACATCAAAAAAATAGAAGTAAGTATATTTTGCTTAGGGAAAACTCTGGGGTTTCATTGCCTTTAGAACTAGAAGGAAACTCTATGTATTAACAGGTTTGGGGCTGATTCTCTGGGGTCTTACATGGTTACCCTTCACTCAAATTTCCTGTTCCTGGTGATTTTGCAGTTTGTCACATGTCCCCTTTTGTGGCCACACTCTTCTTCCTGCCCTGCACCAAATTGAATGTGCTTTTTCTATTAAAATTCCAAAAACATCCCCCACATTAAAGCTGGTGAGAATCAAGACGAACTTTCACTAGAGACTGGGGATTACAGAGGAGGTCGTGTTGTGACAGGGAAAAATACCTCCCTACCCGTTAGATATCAGATGTGCCAAGTTCATGTCTTCCAAATACTGAAGAAGGTCAAGGACAAAGGAGGCTAAGCATAGGAGAGGTTATTGAAAGCAAGCTCCTGAGACACAAGAAGGGCCCCGAGGATGAGTTGCCATGGAGGTTCTTTGTCCAAGGATATTTTATACAGCAAAATCTCCACATGGGTTGAACTATAATCAACCAATAGGATTACAAGTATAGTCCCTCAGCTAATATTTATCCAATAAGGAAGAAAAGCATAAAGTAAGGGTAGATGCTAGCATCATTAACTTTGGCTTATCTATAACTTCTTTTAACATGAAAAGGAATTTTTGGAAAGGGATAAGAGGCTGGATCCATTTGTTCTGGTGACCCACCTATGCATCTGATGCTTACCTGGATTTATTGGACAAATGAGGCTAATTACAGTATAATCTCAAATTGCTGTGTATCTCTAGGGAGGCTCAAAATCCTGGCTATTGTGTCTCTGAAGTCTGGCCTTCTTCCAATACACCTCCAGCCACAATGTTGATGTGTCTTCATCTTCTGTACTCCCTCAAGGGCCCAGTCCCTGAGTGCCTATTAATTTCTCTTTAATTTAGCAGAGTACAATAATGTCACAGCATTACAACACTTTGAAACTCCAGCTCCTGGACTCTTTTTTCACTGCAGAGTCTTCTTTGTTTAATGTTTATCTTCAAAATCCCCTTTCCTCTCACATGTGTCCTTTCTGGCCAACATTCCCTCCCCATTTTTTGTTTTCTCACTGGCATCATGCAGTGTTCTTCTGATCTCCTCTTGTTGTGTCTCCTCTCCAAATCATCCTCTAGAGTGTGTGGGGGGGGGCTTCTTTCGCATCACACAGGCCATTGGGCTGATTTCCTAGACAAAAAGTCAGCACAAATGCATTCTCTGTTCTTGTTTCAGTACAAAGTTTTCTTCCTGCTCAACACACACACACACACACACACACACACACACACTGCTGAAGGAGAGGGAGGAGCTTGAAGAGATCCTCTTGAATTATTCAGACTGTTCCTTCTACTTAGTGCTTCCTCAATTTTTCCATTGCTCCAAAGAGCTGGAGTGCACTTCAGCTTTCCTGCTGCTTTCCATGTCTGTGTAATGAGAGAGCAACTGATCCCTGACTTTTAAAAACCCAGCAAAATAGCCAATAGCTTAAATGTGTAAATTGAAGTTATTACCTTGGCCCAAATTGGGTCAGTGGCTAATTAAGTGGCCCTGCAGAGGTACACTTCATACTAGAGTGAAGCTCCCTCAGCTGAGAGAACAACTATATAGATCAGCCATGAGAATCCATCCTGCTAGGGTTATTTCCAAAAGATGAAAAATATTAACAAAAGATGAGAAATATAAAATAAAAAGCGGCCTTTATTCTGAGAACACGGAAAGAGATGACTGGCACCCCCACCGCTGGCGTCCGGCGATCTCTCCGGCAGACACGTGGCGTGGGGGCCTGTAAATAGCCTCGGTTTGGGGTGGAACCTAAGGCGGGCATTAGGGATACACAGGTAGCCCATTGGTCCTAGGTTTGGCGCCATATGTCAATTTTCAGGGGTGGGAAGATGGCGTCACAGGTAACTTCCTAGGGGCAGGGGAGATGGGGCTTCCTGCTTCCGGTTATGGCTTTCCTGGCTACAGTGTCCTATCTGGGCCAAAACCCTTTCACATCCCAAACTATTTCTTAACTAACAGTTCACTATAAGACTCAGGATGCAGGGCCCTTGGTTCAGACTTTTAAGCAATTACAGAGAATCATAGCATCAGAGAGATTGAGAGTAGATCTGTGTTCAAATGTGAACACAGCCTCTTTCTAGTACTGAGACTTTGAGTACTTCATCTGGAAACTGCTTTCAGTCATTTCTGGAGCAAGATAGATGCATGGATGGATGGATGATGGATAGATGGATAGACAGATGGATGGACATTCATGTGCAAATGAAAGACAATTTTCAAACTATTTTCAGGGCTTACTGAACATCCGAAACAGCTTAGTGTTACTGCAGGCTGTTTTTTCTGTCTTTTGTTTTTCTCTCTTTCACAGATAGACGAGATGCTAACACTAAATTTTTCAGGAAATGCAGACTCTCAAGCCTTCCTAAAGGGCTGCCACTGACAGCAATTGTGCAGTTGCAGAGGACACGTCTCAGGAACAGGGCAAAAGGTCAGCAAACAAGCTCTGTCCCCTCTTCTGCCAGTTCCCACTCCTAGAGCTCCTCTCTCCCATATTCCACATTTGCCATCCATCATTTCCCACTCTATCCTTTTTAACCTAAAGTGGTACTTGTTAAAGGCTCTGTGACCACTCCAGCTATTTCCTTTGAGGCTGATGACACTGCAGCCAAAGCTTCATTATTATGCTAATCAAGCTTGGTCTGAGCTGCTTTCATGACGGCCACATTAAAGCATCCCACGGAGGAGAGGCCTCCAGAGCCATTTACTTTGTGCTGAGTGAATAGTAATGAGGAATGGGAGGGGGGCCGTTTTCTGAACCTGGCCATCAGGTAAAGGGGTCCAGCTTTCAGTGCCATAAACAAGTAAGTAAACAACCAGTGAAACAAGCAAGCAAATTATAAAACACAAAGGAGAGGAAGCAAAGTTTCAGAGGAGGGAGAGGGGAAGGAGATTCTTGCACAGCACAAATAACTTCCATTGCAGAGCGTGCATTGCTTTTGTCAAGCTGAGGATAATTATCCCTATTTCAGAGACAAGGAATTCAGCCTCATTATTGTTAAGAGACTTATTCAGAGCTGATGTCGCTCCTCCGTGACAGGGCTTTACTCCATTTCAGCATGCAATGACAAGGCCAGAAACCAAGTCAGGTTAAACTGCTAGAGCTAAGAAATGAGATAGTGGTGGGGCTCCAAAAACAGTACCTCAAAGTGCGGCATTTGCTTTGAATTAAAAAGCGGTTTCAGAACCAAGGCCTCCCTGACCTTGCCACTCCCACAGCCAGTAATTCCACCTGCAGCCCTGTCTCACTGGCTCTCTGCAAGGGCTGGGAGGAATTTCTCTCAAATTCCCTTATCAAACTAAAAAAGTTCCTCCAAAAGGAATGCAATCTCATCTACCAGGGAAGAAGACTAGGGCTAACCCCACATCCAGAGACCAATGTTCTTTTCTTTGGTCCCATTAATCTCCTCTCAAACTCATTTACTAAAATTATCTACAGCTGTACTCCTGTGTGAAGCAGGGTCTATAAGCTTCAGAGTCTCATTGGGAAATTGAGTGCCTACTTTTTTTATTAATGTTAAAGAGAATAAAACAAAACAAAACAAAACAAAATAATGGGAATGACACTGAATTTCAAAAACAAGAAATAGGAAATCAACCACAGTTAGTGTAATGTACACTGTTATCCTCTAAGTAATTACTCAGATCAGCAGACATAGGCATGCAAAGTCAATCAAATAACATAAGCACTGAGTTGTTTCTTTACTTCGGTTGCATTATCTCCGAAATTTTAGGCATGTGTCTTCTAATTTCCTCTATCTGCATGTCTCTTGGACTTGTTCTGGGTGAGATAAAGTTCATTAAATAATATAAGCACTAAGTCATCTCTTTACTTCAGTTGCTATCATTTCAGAAATTTCTGATGTGTGACTTCTAATTTCTTTTGTGTCTATGGCTCCTGGACTTGTTCTAGGTGGGCTGGGGGTCTGAGATTGCAACCTGCTCCTTTATTTTCCTGTGTTCCACTGAGTCAGCTGGTTGCTGAGTCCCCAGCATTTCCTGTATTGGTTGTCTGTCCCACAATGCAGGAGATTGGGCTAGGTAACTGGGTTCCTCCAACCCAAAGTTCTGGGGTGGTGGAGAGGTATGGGGTGGCTGCTCATTGACATTACCCCAGTGGTAGCACAAACCCAGGAGACATGGCCTCCTCTCCTCCAGTCCTAATGCAGCAAGCTCACTGGGGGTGTGGCTTCTTCTCCTTCAGGCCACAGCAGCAGGCTCACCGAGGGGTGAGTCCTTTCTTTATAATGAACTGACCATTATGTTTCTAAAGTTCTGAAATGGCCACCAGACCATAGAAAGATGTCACTTTAGGCTCCTGCTTGAAACCAATAGCTTCAAGAACTGCCAAGCTTGATTCAATGCCTACTTTCCTATGACACCATGTGCTCATAATAAATCTGTATTCCTAGTCTCTTATTAATCTGTCTATTGTCAGGCTATATCATCAAACTCAATTACTCAATCTTCAGAAAGTGAAAATGACATAAGACCTCCAAATCACATAAGAGAAATATTATAACTATCAACCTGCTAGATGTCTGATAAGCCGAGTTTGTGTTCCCTAGAATTTTAAGGAATAAAGGAGGCTGAAAGTAAGAAATACTTATTTAGAGGGAGAGACACAGATCCTGAGAGGTAGGAGGAGTCCCTAGTGGATGGGTGAGGACCTCACTTTTGAAGTGATGTTTTATAGAGCATATACCCATGTGGGTACAATATGAGTTAAAGCTATAACCAATCAACAAATTATAAAGATAGCCAGTTAGGTAATACTGATCCTGTAGGGAATCAAGTGATGTAACAAGTGTACATGGGAAAAAAGGGGGCTTTTCAGGAAGGGATGAGTCTGAGGATCTTGGTCACCCACTGAGGTGACTGAAATCTATCTAGACTTTATTGGACACTTATCTTGGACCCTGGAGTAGCATGTATCCTTGTCATTTCATCTTTATATTGAGGCTTGCGCTCCAACAGATATACCTCCAAGCACAGTTGTAATGAATTCTACTTTGCACTGATTCGAGGGCCCAGCTCTATCTCATGGCCTGTAATATTTTTACCTAACTGATAGAACTGTGGGGGACCAGTGGCAGCTGAAAAGATAAGAAGTATAAAATATAAATGACCTTTATTTTGAGAATGCGGGGAGAGACACCCCCAATCCCCTGGGGCATGGCATCTCCCCCTGGGGTTGGTGATCTCTCCATGGAACACGTGGAGTGGAGACATATAAATAGCCTAGGTTTGGGGTGGAACCTAAGGGGCATTAGTGATGCACAGGTAGCCCATTGGTATTCTTTTGGCACCATAGGTAAATTCCTAGGGGTGGGGGAGACGGAGCTCCTTGGTTCCACCTGAGGCTTTACCGGCTACAGTGTCCTGTCTGGACCAAAACTCTTTCATATCCTGTCTTGTGATTATTATTATGAAAAGGGGCAAAGATTTCTTTCTTTAATTGCTTCCTGCTGGAAGAGGGCACTGTCCTGGAGTTAGGGGAGTCGACGGGATGACGGTTGATGCCCATGTAGAAGCTGGTGCCAGGTGTTTTAGCCAGGACAACTGGTGAATGCATGTATGTTAGACTGGAAAAACAAAGAGACAAGATGTTATGAGGAAGCATAGCACTGTCATATTTAAGGACCCAGGTGAGGTAGAAGGGAAGGTGCCTTTTATTTAGACATGTCATTATATCAGGACCACCTTGAGGTAGGATTATTGCCACAGTAAGGTAGAATTCTGAAAAATAAATGGGAGGTTAGGAGGAGTGAAGTTATGAGAGGTGATTACTCCCCCATCTGAAAGGATAAAAGTTAAGAGGGTAGGTAGGTAAGGCTTGTCTCTGGTATGCATGACATAGGAGTCTTTAGGAAATACTGTTAAGAGTCCTGCTGTAAAAAGAATAAGAAATTAGAAACCAAATTGGATAATAAAACATGACAGCCTGAGAGTTGGGGCTTTGGGGCCTTCATAAGGCAGAGATAAGTAGGCAACAGGATGGTTAGATCTAAGGCTGGAAGGGCACCACTTAGCCTGAGTGACGTGAAACCCGATAAGAAATATGAAATATAAATGACCTTTATTTTGAGAATGTGGGGAGAGACACCCCTGATCCCCTGGGACGCGGCATCTCCCCCCAGGGTCAGGCGATCTCTCCATGGAACACGTGGAGTGGAGGCATATATGTAGCTTAAGTTTGGGGTGGAACCTAAGGAGCATTAGTGATGCACAGGTAGCCTATTGGTATACTTTTGGCACCATAGGTAAATTCCTAGTGGTGAGGGAGATGGAGCTTCTTGGTTCTGCCTGAGGCTTTACTGGCTACAGTACTATCTGGGCCAAAACTCTTTCACTAACTTTACTGTCTATAATAAAGGATAGTTCCGTTCATCCCTGCAATGTGCCACAGAACAGACTTGAGTCAGATGCCTTCAAAATTTGAGACCTGGGAACAGAAAGAGTGCTCAACTGTCTCATTACCTGATTAAAAGATATAAAATGAGTCTTCTATGTCCTTTGGCTACTTTTCAGTGGAATCATGGCAAAGTGAAAGAGGAAGATCTGGAAGTCCCAGAGGCATTTCTGGGTGACTTGGAGGAAATGGAACAGGAAAGACCCCTGTGCTGCAGGGGGAGAGGGAGTGATTCTCTCTATCCTCACTGAACACCAGGAAGCTGGCCAGAGAAGGTGGTGTGGGCTCCTCCCTGCCCTGAATGCCAGGGGCCCTCCAAGGAAATGTGGAGAGCAGCTGAGGCTGAAGATCCATCACGTGTGGGGTAGAGCAAGTCTAATCTCAAAAACACTGGGCACCTGGGGCAAGCCACATGGGTAAGCTTTTAGGCAGAGAGGTTTCACATGACACTCAGTCTCCCGAGTGTATAAATAAATGTGCTGCAACCAATGGACTTTCTCATTCCCCCTCCCCCTCTCCCCTCTCCCTTCCCCCTTCCCCCTTCCCCCTCCCTCCTCTCTCTCCCCTCCCCCTCCTCCTTTCTTCTTTACTTCCTATCAAAAGGGAGGGCTCCACACAGCCTCAGTTTTCTGTATTCCAACTCTTGTCTATTTTTCATCCATCAACTCACCATCCTCCCCACAGGAACCTCAACAGTTACACAGGATGTGGCAATTGGTGCCTGAACTGGGATCCAGGGAACAAGGAAACACATCAGATAGCAGGTAAATGTGTACACAAAGAGAGAAACAGGCTTAAGTCAAAAATAGATAGGCTTAGGAGAAGCCAAAGAGAAAAACAGGCTTAAGAAAAGCCAAAGAGAGAAATACACTTAAGAGGAAGTTAAAGAGAGAGAACCTGATTTTATCAGATGTTAAGCATGAAGCAAGTAGTTTCTCAAAAACAACAAATGTATATAAAAGTCCCTGTCCTATTATGGATTCTCGCACTTACTTTTCTTTGTAGATCTGGCTCAGAGAGTACCTCAGTGGTCATGTGCCTGCTGAGATGACCACGGAGGATCCTGCTCAGAGTACTATTTTAAAACCAAGAAGAAAAGGAATAATAAGGCAATAGCCCTACCGATAAAGCTTGAACCCTCTAGCTTTGCTCAATCAGATAGAGAAGAAATTGGGGGAGGGGCAAAAACAGCTCCCCCCCCCACCCCCAGAGGAGTGTTTCACTATGCCTTCAGCCTTACAGCTGCCCGAGGCGGAATCAGCTCCACAAGGAGCTCCACAATCTCTTCAGCTCAGAGAAATCTTGCTGCATCACAGGTCAAAACTTCTGCCTCTCAGAGAGTAGACTCACCCTCTTTTCCCTCCTACAGCTGGTGTTAACAGAAGCCAGACAGCCGGGGAGTCCATGGACGCATTTCAACAGGTCAGCTCTGTTGTTGGACTCCAAATTCCTAATAACCCAGGACAAGTCACATATCTTCATTAAGCCATGCGTTTTAAGACACTAAAAGAATTAAACCATGCTTCCACTACTTAGGCACCACAGCCTCTTTTACCTTGGGTTTAACAGAACTTATAGGACAACAAGTTATGACCCCAAATGATTGGAAGGAAACAGCTGAAGCATGTTTAAGCCTGGGGGATTATTTATTATGGAAGAAAACTTTTTTTTGAATTACACACAGGTCAGGCCATTTGCAGTGCCACTCACAACATAACCATTACAAAAGATATGTTAACTGGAGAAAATGCCTTTGTTGCCACAAATTATCATATTACTTTTAAACTACAAGTATATGAACAAATTAAAATAGCTACCATAAGGGTTTGGAGGGAATATTCTTCAAAGGGTGACCTGAATCTGACCTTCATCCACCTGAGTCCTGATGGACCTTTTCAGGACTTAGTAGCACACCTATTGAAGGCTAATAAGAAATTATCAACATTTCTCTCTCTCTCTCTCTCTCTCTCTCTCTCTCTCTCTCTCTCTCTGTCTCTGTCTCTCTCTCTCTCTCTCTCTCTCTCTCTCTCTCAAATCAAACTACAACTTCATACTTGCCAGGCAGGCACTAGAAGATTATCAACAATTCAGAAGCTAACAAATTAACTGTTCAACAATGCAAACAAATCATGTAAAGAGGCCTTATGGGCCTATAAAAATTGGGTAACACAGTCTGAGATGATTTGGATTGGGCAGACATTGGCCCCTCATACATCCAAGGGTCTACCTTACCAGCAGCTATTACTCAGTCTATTCATCCATAGCCTAGAGGAAAAGAAAGCAACAAGGTACCTGTTTTAGCTGTGGAGGCAAAAGATAATTTGCCCAAAATTGCTCTCCTGCACTGGTAAGAACAAAACTGACATTATTCATCCTCTAACAAAACTTTCTAGTCTGGAGGTTACATAGAAGATAGGGACATGAAAATTTCCACTATTCATAAAACAAAATAAGATACAAAATTGCATACCATTTATAGGTAAAAGTTTTGTTGCTTCCAGATTTTCTTATAAGAGATCTTTGCTATTTGACCTACAAAAAAATTCTGACTAGTCCATAATTACAAACTTCTAGAATGATAAAAGTTATTATAATTTAATTTAGCCAAAAATATATTTGAGTGCACTCAGATACTGTAAGTAGATTCTCTGATTATGTTGTTTGTTCATTTGTCCTATCTGTGACAGTCTTTGTTTTGTTTTCTTTTTTTTTAATTTGAGCTCAACAAGTATTTTCTCTTTTCTTTGAAATTTTTGGACCATTTGATCAAAGTTTACTTTGGATTATAGATTTAAAAAGCATGTTTCCCCCTGGCCTGCCAGATAGTCAAAATGATGCTAAAATTGGTTAAATGTAATATGTATCATTGTTTATTATGATTTGAGAGTCTTTCATTGTTCAAAAATAATGTGTTATGATTGGGTTTTCATAAGTTACCAAAAAATTATTAAGACAA